GTCTGGGCGTTTGGGGCCTGGCGCCCCACTGGCGACTCACTCCAATGGCCTCCCACTTGCCATCACCCAGCATGACGGACTTGACCATCCTGGCTCACGTCTCTATATTGTGTGGGTCGTGCCATGGCAAGCACCGAATTCCGATACACTTTGTCCTGTGCACGTGCTCGAGCTCTCAGGATGCCGTCCGCCGTCCGCTCCCCATTTCAGCTTCGCGGCTGCTGTGTGAGTGGGTCGTCTCGCGGCCGCGACCAAACAACGTAACCCCACCAGCCCATCCAGAAACGATACCCAGACGAGTTGCCGGAGTCAAGGGTAATGGATGGGTAAGCCGCCGAACCCCAAAATTGGGAGGACTCGGAGGAGGAGAAGAAAGAGAAGGAGGAGGAGGAGGAGGAGGAAGAGGATTATGATGATGATGATGCTGATGCTGACGATGATGATGATGATGATGATGATGATGATGATGGTGATGCTGATGATGATGATGGTGATGATGATTATGAAAATGAAAATGGTGGTGGTGATGATGATGATGTTGATGATGTTGCTGCTGATGATGATGATGATGCTCAGGAGGAGGAGGATGCTGATCATAATGATTCTGATCATGATGATCATGGTGATGATGATGATGAGCATGAACATGAAAATGGTGGTGGTGATGATGATGCTGATGTTGCTGATGATGGTACTGATGATGATGCTGATGATGATGATGATGACGATGATGCTCAGGAGGAGGATGAGGAGGAGGATGAGGATGAGGAGGAGGATGAGAAAGACGAGGAGGAGGAGGAGTCGGAGGAGGACAACGAGGAGGAGGAGGAGGAGGGGGGGGAACATGAGGAGGAGGAGGAGGAGGAGGCGGAGGAGGAGGAGAGAATGAGAGCGAGCAGAAAAGGCCAAAGCCCTCTTGGATGCCTCTCGGAGCCTCTTCGGATTTCTTGTTCGAGAGCTTAAGTGATTTCTCTTGGGGGCGCATCGGGGTCTCTTGGCAGTCCAGGGGGCCTCTTGGGGCGTACTAGGTGCCTCTGGGGGAACTCCTGGGGACTCTCGGGGGTCTCTTACTTAGGAGCCTGTTGCGGGCATCTTGGGGGCCTTTCGGGGGCTTATTGGGGTCTCCTGGGCACCTCTTGGTGCCGTCGTGGGGCACCCTTGGGAGCCTCGGGGGCCATTTTGGGAGAGATCGATCAAGTGAGAGGGTGCCCTTAATCAGGGCCACCCCTCCCAGGCGGCCAACATGTGGCTAAAGCATTGGTCTTGGGTCATTCGCGGAGGCCTCTTGGGGCGTCTTGGGGTGCCTCTGGGGGCCTCTTGGGGCCTCTCTCGGGTCTCTTGGGGCCTCTTGGGGGCTTCTTGATGCCTCCTGGGCACCTCTTGGGGCCATTTAGGGGCACCCCTGGAGGTCTTGTGGACCCTCTTGGAGGAGATCGATTATCGGAGGGGTACTCCTTTGTCAGAGTCCCCCCCATGAGGCCAACATGTGGCCAACACCTTAGTAACATCAGTGATTTTGGCATTCTCGCCGAGGCCTCTGGGGGCGTCTTGGGTGCCCCTGGGGGAACTCTTGGGGACTCTCGGGGGTTTCTTGGGAGCCTCTGGCGGGCATCTTGGGGGTCTCTTGGGGGCCTCTTAGGGCCTTCTTGGCGTCCTTTGGAAGCCTCGGGGACCATCTCGGGGCTATCTTGGAGGATATCGATCAATCTAGGAGCTTCCTAATTAGCCCCCCCCCCCCCCAGGGGGGCCAAAATGTGGCCCAAACCTTAGCAAAACCAATGATTTTGGCTTTCTCGCCGAGGCCACCTTGAACGCTCCAACGTCTCGCGAAACGCCCCGTCCGGGCCCAGGGGGTGGGAGTCGAGTGAGGGGTAAGCCCCTCCCCGAAGGGAAAGAAGGGGGGTTGAAGAGGAACTCTTCAACACTGCTCATTCCCAAGCGGGCTGGTGGGATTTGGGGTGACGCGCACACGGGGGTGGCGTGAGGGGGCTAGCCTTCAAGAAGGCGGAGGGCTTAATCCCTCCTGTCTTCTAACGAAGTTTCTTACAAGCCTCCAGACCCTTCTGAGGTCCCTGCCTTCTAAGAAGACCCCCGCCATCTTAGAAGGCCATCTCCCCGTGCCACCCCCATTTGCGCGCCGCCCATTCATTTTCGGTGACGCAGGAGTGGTTGAAAACTGAAAACTCAGCCTGAAGTTGTGACTGCCCCGGCGCTGGCGCCGGCGTGAGCCGGGGTCGCCGCGGTGGCGGTCGCCGCCGCCGACATCGCCGTCGCTGTTGTCGCCGTCGCGGGCGTCTTGGTCCTCGTCCTCGTCGTCGACACTGGCGCCGTGTTCGTCTTCGTCCGCTGCAGCGGAGGATGTTTGGCTGTCAATTCGATCTCCGCGGCAACCTCCCAGACCGTGCCATGCGGAAGGGTGGGAGCAGGAGAGGCCCAAGCTGCAGGCTGAGCAGTTGCCAGGGAATTAGAGGCCGCGAGGGGCAGCTCATTGGATAAAGAGAAGCCTCGAGATCCGACGTCACACGCAAAAAAGCTACATCGTATAACAACCCGACCGCTCCCCTGGAACCCATCTTCTGCGTCGTTTCGAGCCAGATCGCTCTGCGAGGCTCGGGCCCCTGGGCCCCAGGGCCCGAAACATGGCAAATCGCGTTCTCAAAGACAATGCGACGCCAGCAGGATTTCAGGCTAGCGACACACACGCACAGACATCCGCCGTCGTGATTTTTCACGACGTCGACCCTGGGAAGTCTCGACCCATCCCCCAGGACCGACATTTCGTCTTGAGCCGTTTGTGAGCGGTCCCGGAGCCCCTCGAGGGCCCCCAGAGGCCGAAAATGGCAAACAAAGTGCAGTCGGCATTGTCTTGCAAGCGATGTTGATCTGGGCTTGTCGTCTGGTCCCGAAGCGTCCTGGCGTCTGGTCTAACCCGTCGCCTGTCCTGCCCCGCTGCCCCGGCCAAAAGCCAGAAGGAGGGGGGGGTCCGTCAGCGTGGCAGCGCGGGCCGCCGCAACTCTTATTCGGACCACAGGGCGGGCCGACAAAGAAAAGCGGGCCAAGAAAGGAACAGGAACGGGCCGGAGAGCGAGGAACCGAGGAGCGAGGGGGGGAGAGGGACGGGGGGACGGGGAGGGGGAGCCAAGCAGGGAGAGAGAAAGGGAGAGCAAAGCACACACAAGGGCAAGGAAGCAACGCAAGGGCGGGAGAGCACAAGGGCAAGGGGGGGGAGCACGGAGAGGAAGGAAGAGGAGAGGGGGAGGAACCGAGAGCCGAAGCCAAGGCAAGAAAGAAAGCGGGCCAAGAAGAGCACCCGAGCGACAGCGCAAAAGGACAAATTGCCGCCCTCCATTCCGGCGGGAAGAAGACTCCACAGAGCAGCGGCCGGAGGAGGAGGAGGAGAGGGGGGGGGGAGCGACGATGGCGACACAGGTCACGCGGCCGCCAGCCCGCTAGGGCGCGGCTGCGCGGCGTCTCACTCACCGTCCTCGTGCGCCGGCTCGCGCGCGACAGCCGCCGCAGCCGCCGCCCACGCAGCTCGCCCTGCGCGGGCTCTGGCCCGCCGACGCTCGATCCGCGCAGCGCAGCCCCGGGCGAGTAGGATCGCCACGCGCTGGAGCATCTCCCAGCGCACGGTTGACTGCTCCCGCCCCTCCTTCCCGGCTGCCGCTGCTGCGACGGCCCGGAAGGCCGCGTCCGCGCCCTTGCTCATGCCGCCCTGCTGCTCGAGGACAACGGGCCGGAAGGCCAGGCCCTGTGCGCGGCACCTCTCCTCGGTCCGGCCCCGCCTCCGTTTCTCCTCGTCGTAGGTCTCGGACGGGAGCCCGGCGGCCAGTGCGGTGTCCGCCCAATGGCCCGGCCCCAGCGCGTTGATGACCGCGAAGTCAAAGCACACCTTTTCTGCCCGGACCGCACGGCTGCCGTCGGGAAGGTGCGTCGCTAAAGCCAAGTGTGGGATCACGAGGACGTCGGCTGGCCTGCGCTGCTCTGGCGGTGCCTCTGGGCCCTCCTGCAGCAAGCCTGGGACCTTGGACTGCGGTCGCAGTCCGCCTCGGCACGCGTAGTCGTAAAGGACGTCGCGAATGCCGTTGTGAGTGCCCGTGGTTTCAGGGCCCCCCATGCAGGAGAGGCAGTGGATTCCCTGAGCGTTCAAGGCAACCCCGCACAAAGGACAGGTGGACCCCGCATCCAAGACATCGACACCGAGCCGGAGCGCGACGTTGTCGGCAAACTGGCTCGCAGTGAGTTGCATGTCAAGTGTCTTGGATGGGGTGAGCTCGTACAAGGCGCCCGCTCCTTGCGCAGAGTACGCGTTCAGCCGCGTTCCGTCTGCCGGCGGCCCTGCGTCTCTCCACGCGACCACCGCTTTCTTCCGGAGCGCGTCCCCGAGGTGCGTCTGGGTCAAGGCATCCCGTGACTCGACTGCGAAGACCTCGGCCCCGGCGGAGGCCGTGATCCTGGACACCGCGTCCGCCAGCGGGGCACCCGCGACGTCGTCGTCCCACTGGTGGCCTGGCCGGATCATCGCGCACAGGTCGTGTGTCAGCGCGCGCGAGCCGGCGTAGGCCGCATCCATCTCGACAGAGATGTTGCGCAGGCCGAGGCCGCCAGCCGAGGCCTTGAAGGAAGCCTGCTCGCGCTGCCTGTCAGACCAGCGCTGGTTCACAGCAGCAGCTGCCGCCTCGAGCACGCACTCAGAGTCAGGGCCGCTGCGGGCCGCTGCGGGCCGAATGGCCGCTGCGGGCCGCTGCGGGCCGAATGGCCAGCCCCAGAGGTCCTGACCCCTCCCAGGATCCGGGAGTTTGGGCGGGCGGCGCCGCCGCGGCGGCGCCGCGCGCCGCCGTCGCCGCCGCCGCGCCGAGGCCGCTGCCGCTGCCGCCGGCTCCCCAGCCACCGCCGCCGCCGCGGCCGTCGCCGACGCGTCCTCGTCGCCGTCGTCGTCCTCGTCGTCGTCGTCGTCCTCGTCGTCGTCGTCGTCGTCGTCGCCCGCGCACCGCGCCGAGGCCCGCCGCGGCCACGGGGCCGCTCGTCGACGCCCTGAGGCCCGCGCGCCCGCTGCTGGCCCCGCTGGCGCCCCGCGGGCTCGCGCTGCCGGGCCTCGCCGCGCCGGAGCCACGCGGCCCCGCCGCGGCGCGGCCGGAGGGCGGCTCCGCCGGCCGACCCTCGCGCGGGGAAGCGTGGGACCCGGACCCCCCTCGCGCTGTGATAGAATCACGACGGAGGGTTTTTCGCTGTGTTCGGCCTCTGGGGGCCCTTATACTGGTCCTCGGGACCGTTAACAAAACGACTCAGGAGGAACAGCCAGTCCTGGGGGTCGACGTTGTGAACAAATATCTCCACGTCGGGGGTCTGGGAGCTCGCGTTTCGACACGATCGAACTTCGGCGGCGAGCGAGGCCCCCGTGGCCGATGGCCGATGCTCTCCTCCTCCTCCACGCGAGGAGGTGCGGAATCTTCGGCCCTCGAGGCCTCCTGACTGCCTGCTCGGGTGGCAGCTCGGGTCTCTGGCGGCCCGCCAGGCGCCTCCCGGCGAGGCGCAGCTGCCGGAAAGCACCTCCAGGCTGGAGAGCATTACAACAACTCGAGAACATGTCCTTCGACGTGAAACCCGGCATCCGCCAAATTGTCTCTCAATCTGCCGCCCCAGCCCCAGATCTGTGTTTGATAGCCTCAGGGCCCGAGAACAGGCCCCAGAAACCGAAGTTGAAGAACACCATCATGCTTGAAAAAGCAGAACCCCCAGAACTACGGGTCGATTCATCGATCCTTCGACGTTGAGTCGGGGAGACGTAATTTTCGGGTTCGGGGAACTCGGGTTGGCCTGACGGGGCCAGCAGGAAATCGACGAGACCCAGTCTGAATTTTGGCGCGATATCCCGCTGCAAACATCCCACAACAACTGGACCCTCAGAATTCAGGTCGAAACCGCCCAGTCGGCACACCCGCGTCCCTGTGAACTTTTTTGGGTGCCCGACATGGGTACGGAAAATACGGGTACGATGCTCCGTTCCAAGCCGACAGCGGTCTCAAATGGCCTGCATCCGCGGGGACACCGACAGCGAGCTTTGTTCAAAATGAACAGAAATTGCTGCCGGTCTTCGTACCTAATAATTCTTTACATACCTAGTTCTCGGCGGCCAGCCCGGGGGGAGAGTGAGAAGGGGCGGACCTTCTCAGAAGGCTCGGAAGTCCCCCGGCCTTCTGAGTCCGGTTCGGTTCGGTTCGGGTCGGTTAGGTTCCGAAGTGGGTCCTGTTCGGTTCGGTTCGGTTCGGCATCGGAATTTTCCGGTTCGGTTCGGTTCGGTTCGTCGTTGTCAGGGGGGCCGTCCGTTTCGGCCCGGTTCGCCATGCGTTTCGCTCCGGTTCCGCCCAGTTCGCTGCGGAGGAGGCGAGGGAGGAACAGGACAAGGGACAAGGAGGAGCAGGACAAGGTTTGATTTGGGGAAGGTGTCGGGGAGGGTGCCGGGGGGGTGCGGAAGGGGGGAGGCGGGGGGGAGGGCCGGAGGGGCCGAGGAAGGTTCCGGGCCCCGGGGGGGCAGGAGAGGCGGTGCCAGGAGGGGGCCGGGAGGGGGGGGGCCGGGGGAGGGCTGGGGGGGGGCCGGGGGGGGGGGGGGCCGGGTGGGGATGTCGGGGGGGATGCCGGGGGGGGGGGGCCGGGGGGTGGTGAAGGGGGGGCCAGGGGGAGGGGGTGCCGAGAGGTGCCGGTGGCCTCCTCCTCCTCCTCCTCCTCCTCCTCCTCCTCCTCCTCCTCCTCCTCCTCCTCCTCCTCTTCCTTCTTAATCCTCCTTCTCCTCCTTCTCCTCCCTCACGTCGCCAAATTTAAGATAATTTAAGGCCCTGGAAACGTCCAGTTCGGTGCGGTTCCGTCAGGTTCAGCCCGGTTCGGTTCGAAATCGAATCCGGTTCGGTTCGGTTCGGTTCGAAATTGGGTCTCATTCGGTTCCGGTTCGTTTCGGTTCTTGTTGACAAAACGTGTGGTTCGTACCGGTTCGGTTCGGCTAGGTTCGGCTCGGTTCGGTTCGGTTCTTGAGCCTCTTGCTTTCTGAGCCCTCCCCGAAGACACAGAATGTTGCTCGGAAGACCAGGTCGCTTCTGAGAAGCCCCGCTGCCTTCTGAGAAGGCCTTCTCCTTCTCACTCCCCCCCCTCGCTCGCCGCCGATCGAGGCCTGGGGATCGGGGGTCCGAGGCTCGGGGGGTCGCCTCTGCCGCCGCGTATGCTGGCGGCGCCTCGGCGGCGCAGGGCGGCGCGCAGCGCAGTGAGCTCGAGGTGGACAGGCGGCATGGGCCACGCGCAGAGGGGGGCAGGGGGAGCAGGAGGAGCAGGAGGAGAGTCGAGGGGGAGCAGGAGGAGCAGGAGGAGAGTGGAGGGGGAGGAGGAGAGCGGAGGGGGGCGGCTGGAGCAGGGGGCCTCTGGGGAGAGAGGTCAGGTGGGCAGCCGGCGTTGTGCGCAGGGGGGGGCGGGTCGGCCACGCGCCGATGCAAGGCCCGCGTCTTCCAAGAAGCAGCCTCCTTCGAAGACGCCTTCCCCCCCTCCCCCTACCCCATTGTGCGCGCCGCCAACGGCAGAAACATCCCAGAGCCTTTCTCGGTTCGATCGCTCCGATTCCCGATGCAATCTCGCCCGTCTCGACGCGATTCGACCTCCATTTTCGGGCGGCCTGGTGCGTGCACGGCTTGGTTGTGCAACCTGGCATCTTGGCGCGAGATTTCCGCGATTCCATGTCGATGCAGCCCAGTGCGATGCAAGCCCAGATCCGATCCGATTTGGCTGGGCAGATGCACCCCCCGTCCCTGGAGGCAGCCTCTCCAGGAAGGGAGACAACGGCAGAAGTCAGAGGAGGATAGTGAAACGACACCGCTACCCTTCCCTCGCTTTCCGCCTCTTTGGGTCTCATGGGAGGCCCTCGTCGCCACCGCTGGATTCCCCTCGAAAGTCTGGTCAGTTCGCACCCATCAATACCTTTTGCGTCTTTTTGCCTCCCCTAGAAGGAGGAGCTTTCGGAGGCCCGCGCGGAGTTGCTGAGTCGGCGCTGGGCCCGAGTGGAGGAGGTCCCAGACCCCCTCGCGTCGTGAACAAAAACTAAGCGGACAGCTGTTAGTTGTGTTCTGCCGCTGGGGGCCCTCGCCATGCCCCCGGGACCGTCAAACAACGATTCAGGATGAAACACCAGGCCCGGGGAATGGGTCGAGATCTCTGGGGGTCAGACTTGTCAACAGATCACGAAGTCGGGGGTCTGGGGGATCCAGCGCCGACCCGAGAAACCTGCTCGGACCCAAGGAAGATCATGCTCAGGCATTCTTGTGTTGTCCCCCCCTGTTGAGCGCAGCTCACCTGGCGATGGAGTAGATGCACGACAGTGGCCCGGAATCAGGGCCATCGAGCGATCCTGGGGGGGCGATACCATGGTGCGGTAGCGAGGGCTGCAGAAAAGGGGCCCTCTGGGCCCCCTAAGGGGGCCCTTTAGGGTCCCATCTTTAGGGCCCGAGAAGGGTACCTTTCCTCCTCTCCGTTCATCGCACCCCCATTCATTTGCGCCCAAGCGTTACACCTCGATCGTTCAAGGTTTAGTGATCCGCTCGGTGTCAGAAGCAAACACGCAAGTCGTCACGAGTCGAGCCTTCCCGGGACCGCGCGAGGCCGGTCGGGGCCGGCTGCCCTGATGGTGTTGGTCCCTCCCCCTATTCTCCGACGCCGCAATGCTTCCTGTAGCGCGGGCCCATGCGCATCCCGACCCCTTCCCCAGGGCCGGCTTTGACTTCTGAGTCCTTTTTTCAAGGTCATGGGGCCTGGAAGCGGCCTCCAGAGGCTGAGAAACGTCCAGACACTGGGCGCCACGAGTATCTGCACCGCCTGGTCTGGAAGCCCAGACATTCTCTGAAAGCGCGCCAGCGGACGAACCTGAATACACAAAAGGGGGGGGTGCTCGCAGGACCCTCCCCTCCCCTTCAAAGGGGGGGGTGAGATTTTCGACCCCCCCTTCCCCTTCCCCTCTTTAAGGGGGGGGGGGATCCGAACCTCCCCCCCCCTTGAAGGGGAGGGGGGGTTCCGGACCCCCCCCCCTCCCCCCCTTGGCGCTGGAATGGGGGGGGGGGTCGAACCCGCCCCCCCCTTCCCCCCCTTTGCGCCGAGTGGTGAGTAGGTAGTGAGTAGTGAATGGTGGGTAATGGGTCGTGGTAGTAGTGAGTAGTGCGTAGTGAATAGTGAGTAATCGGTAGTGAGTAGTGGGAAGGAAGTAGGGAGTAAGGAATTGTGAGTAGTGCGTAGTGAGGAGTGAGTAGTGTGTAGTGAGTAGTGCATAGTGGGAGTAGTAAGCACGGAATAGGGTTGAGGGAGTAGACAGTAGCGAATCGCGAGGAGTGAGTAGTGAGTAGTGAGTAGTGCGCAGTCAGTACAGAGTAGTGAGTAGTGAGTGGTGAGTAGCGAGTAGCGAGTAGGGAGTAGCGAGTAGAGAGCAGCGAGTAGTGAGTAGTAAGTAGCGAGTGGGGCGTTGTGAGTAGTAAGTAGTGAGGAAGGAGTAGTGGGGAGTCAGTAGCGCGTAGGGAGTAGTGCGTAGCGAGTAGGGAGTAGCGAGTAGTGAGTAGTGAGTAGTGAATAGTGATTAGTGAGTAGTGAAGTAGTGAGTAGTGATAGAGCGAGTAGTGGGTAGCGAGTAGGGACTAGCGGGTACAAATTAGTGAGTAGCGACTTGCGACTAGTGACTAGGGAGTAGGGACTAAAGAGTAGTGAGGAGCGAATAGCGAGTAGTGCGTAGTGGGTAGTGAATATATTGTATTGGGTAGCGAGTAGCGGATCGTGACTACTCAGTTGTGGGCAGTGCGTACTGAGTTGTGAATTGTGAGTGCTCCGTAGTAAGTTGTGGATAGTGGTTAATGGGTAGCGGGTAATGTAGTGAGTAATGGGCAATGAGTAGTGTTTAGAGAGTAGTGGGTATTGAATACTGGGTAGTGAGTTGGGAGTAGTGAGTAGGGAGTCGGGAGTAGTGAGTTTGGAGAAGTGGGAGCGTAGTGAGTGAGTAGTGAGTAGTGGGTAGTGATTACTGTGTATTGGGTA